AGTCCCCTGGAATTCTGCCTTGCTCTGTCTCACAATCTTCTCATTAGAGCTCCCTCCTGGTGTGGAGGTTCATCACGTGACACCTTGGAGGGGGTGGGGCTCATCTTCTTCTTTTGTAATTAATTGCAATTTGCACAGCTTCCTCTGAGGTGGGTGGTCTGAGGGGAGTCACATGGCTTGCTGTTCTCTTGCTCACCTGTGTAGCTCAGGCCTGGCTGAGGATTTTCTCTGCTTGAGTCATATTCCGCCTGGTTTCTCACTCCATGATGAGAAGTTCTTACATGTCACCACCCCCCCAACCTTCTACACTGACAAACTATTTGGTTTCTGAACATGAATAAATCACTGGGATGATCTTGAGGCCTCCCATCTCCTTCTACTGCCATGTCATTTAAAAATGTGGTAACACCTGGGGAACAATAGTTGCTTCTAAAACAGCAGATTGCTGATGTGGCCCCGGGGTGCTTGGTCATCACAGGTACTGTGATGATTTTCTTTGCTGCTCCAAAAGCTGAGCTTGGCTGAATTCACTTCTGATCATTAGGTTCATGTTAACAACAGTTGCTCAATTCACTGTTTCCTTATAGTTATTAATACAACTCTGGGAGTGACAAGTGTTTCTGTAAAATAACACTGCTGCCTGAATTATGGGGTGCACGACATACAATTATAACTTCTAAAAAAGTCGCAACTGACGTGGAAAATAAAAGCAACTGAGTTGAACTCAGAGGCATGGGAGAGATCTCAAAAGCATGGAGGATATAGCAGGCAAACTTTTTGCATCATGGCATTGTAAACAAAATAATAAGTGACTTGGAATCACGGTTGATTAAATTCATGTTAAAATCCCTGGGTACTGTTATGCCATGCTTGGTCTCCTGGGCTCCCTTGGGCATTGTCTTCAGCCAACAAACTATAATTTCATGCTTGACTGGCCTAATACAGTTGTAGGTTCCAGATTCTGTGCTCAACCATGCCAGGCCACAGAAGTTAAATGAAAAGCAAATGAATAAATGAAACAATGGGTGGAGGTCAAGAGACGATGCCCGTCAGCAACCTGAAACGGAGTAAGTCTCTCACCGTGAATCGTTAGTGTTTTTAGTGTCAGTTAGCTGGAGAGTTGTTCCATTCCCTGCTGATTCAACACTATCTTGACATTTACTAGAGCACCTGTGATGTGCCAACACAGTGGTGGGCCTGGAGGCTGGAATGGGGAGCAAAAGGGTACTAATGAGTGGTTGGAATTTCTCAATGGAAAACCAGGTGGTTCTCCATTGCAACCACTCTGTAGCTGATGGAGTCTTTGAAGAGACTCTCCCAAAGAGGTTTCATTCCAGGTGTTTGGCAGCTTTCCCAGGGCTTTCTGTTTGTACCTTCTTCAAGATTCTGCTGGAGACGGAGGGGATTGACTCCCTCCTCCTTCGCAGATGCTGTTCTCATGACTGACTTCCCCACCAAACTCACCAAGTCTAAATTACAGAAGAGACTCAGAAGGGGTCTTCTGCTCAGGTCTTATTTGCACTGAGTCAAGATTCTCTTAAGGTTCATAAACTTCACCAGGAACCCTTTCCTTTATTCTAAGATGATGATGTAAGTGGGTTGACATGAGGAATGTAAAGAAGAGAGACTGGGAATGTACAGAAATTTGTTAGTCATCAGCTCGAGTGACTTTGTTCCTTCATGCATATTTTGTATAGTTAGGGTCAGCTGAAATTAAACACTTTTGCTGGTAGCAGAATCAAAATTAAAACTGAAAAGGGCACTTATTTCTAAGAAAATTCTGGAAGAAATTCTTCACAAAATTTTTCAGACTATCTCTCCATTATCCTTTAGGCTGAAAAGTCTGTCCAAATGCCTTTGGGCACTTACATTGAATATAATAAATTATTTTCTGTGGATCTCAGGGTAGCATTAATTTGGTATGACTGGGAGGCAATTTTCTTTAATTAGGATCTTTTTCAGGGTTCTTTCATGCTTCTGTTGTGCAGTCTTTTTGGAGAAGTGGCTTAAGGGTGCTTAGCTTCCGTGAACTTGTGGTCTTGGGAATGTACACTTGAGATGGGACCAGTTTGGGAGACTCCATGCCTGTGGTCTGGGGATTTTATGGAAATAATAACCAATTCATGGCTGGATTGAGTTGAAATTCCAGGACATGGTTGTGCAACGTACATGTAGAAGAATGAAGGATGTTAAAGGGCACCCTGCACCTGCCATTATCGTCCATCTGGGAACTTATACACACTCTTCAGAATGCAACACTTGGCTTGCCAGGGTGTCAGACATAGGGGAAGCTGTGCAGAGTGGTTGGGGAGAGATGTGGAGAGGAAAACATTGGCTTCAGATGCCAAATAGAAAATTAAACTTCCTGAGGAAGTTCTGAACCCTGCTCAAGTAAACCGAACATTTATTTGTTCACCAAAACTATTGCAATAAGCAAATACAGAAAATGGTGCAATATGGGTGGTAGGGATTGAAATCATGTGATCTATTTATTTGTAATAAATAATGTATTTATTTGTAATAATACTATAAAAGCACAAATTTATCTTATTTGCCGTATTATGTTTACTCACATGGACAGAAGTATATTCAGATTTTGTAGAGCCTGCAGGTTACCCAAAATTTGTGTGTGGGGAGTGTAACAAAAGAAATACAAACTTGACTATAAAATAAGTAGAGGCCCCCTTAAAAGTGGCCCATCAACCAGAGGCCCCTGAACATTGTTTTTCATTGGTTCCTGGGGAATCCTCTGGATTTGGGGTGTGTTATAGGAACACCCTGTCACAGGCAGGACCTAGCTCTCCTGTCAGCCTGCAGGAGGCTAATGTCAAGGTGGGAGCTGTAGTACTCAGGTTCATACGTCACACATCTGAGCACTTTGCTGACCATCTTAGGATCTGTTTGTCAGATCCTTTAGGAAGAAACCTCTCAATGAAACCAACAGAGAACTTGTGCTTCCTTATGATCCATAGGCTCTAGTCCAGCATTTACTGAGGGGGAAGATTCCCTTATGAGGTTGTAAATCTCTTGCCAACATATTGCAGTTTATTATTGGATCGGCTTAGATTTAAAGCGGTCCACTCAGTGCCACCATCTATGTAGCAACTAGAGCATCATCCACAAATAAAATAACCTTCAAGGCCAAAGAGCTGCCAAGAACCAGATTTTTCAAGATTAACTTGAACAAGTTGTTCAAATCAGGTGATGCGGACACCGTAAAATATCACCTTATTTCAAAAGACGAGCAAACTGAAAATGAGCTGAAAAAAATCCCTACTGAGGATGTATGTAATCATTTGGGTTGGACCTGGTGTACCTGGAGGATGTTCAATCTCAGACATACACAGTGGGCATGTAAGTACACTCACACTCATGTGCACACTCACACACATAGAGATATCTCTCTCCCTGACACGATTATTCCTTCTTTCTACTTTATCTATGAACAAATTGTCAAAGCAACCTTAAAATGCTGGGTAATATAATCCTCAAATGCTAGTAACATAAAAACGACTCTAATTATACAAGTGATATCATTGCAATCTCTGGCACCAGAACTTTTACTGTTTCTCCAATCTGCAACTATCCTGTTTTCTAGTCTTCCTCCCCTTATTCACCAAAGTGACTGCTACAGGCAGTTTAGACACCCAGAGGAGAAGATAATGGCTTTGACCTTAATAGATGGTTTGAAGGCACAATGTATCCCATTGACTTCACACCAAAAGGGGCTACGGATGTGTTTTTCTCCTGTTTCTTTTCCTCTTTATTGTTAAGGAGACTAATTGTGTGTGCTCATGAGCATGTGTGTGAGAGGAAATGTTAAATTCCTTTCGATTTTTCTTTTTGTGGTGGTAAGAGCAGGAAGGCATTCTTTTAAACTTCTTTTTCTAAGCAAAGTGTGGGAATGGAGGGCGACAGTAAGTCAATTCTCAGAATAAGATGCTCTACCAAGATGCAAAGAGACAGGGTGGGAGGAGAAATTTTCAACAGCTGAGAGAAAACTGCCACAAGTGGTTGTCGATTGAATCAATGACATGGCTTCGTAATGTGGCCTCAGATGGAGCAGGAAAATACTGCAGAGAAAAAGCGGCAGGAATTCCTATTGTGTCCCCTCAGAGTGTAGTAAGGGGTCTGCTGGAACTCAGGGGGCCTCTGAAGGTGGTATGTCTACTGCCAATTCTTCTGATAGTGCCAAAGATGATTTACAGTTTTGTGAAATGAAAGCTCTCTTGTCTGCTATTCATGCATTTAAAATAACAGAGAATATAAGTTTTCACCTAGGATAATTGCCCGTGCTTCAGCCTTTCAGAGTATGGCTCTAGGTTGCGTGAGTTACCATACAAAGACTATGGCTGTGATCTGAGACTTGAACAAGACACTGGGCCAACTACCTGACAATATTCTATCTAAACTAACAGTTAAATGTACTGGTCAGTGGTCAGAACAACTGAAAGAATGGCTTAACCATCCAACCCATGTAACACCCAGAATCACAATGAGTCCAGCTTTGGGGCTAGAAATTATTTAAATGAAAGATTATTTACAAAGGGAACAGCAGGGAGAAGAATCATATAAATTAGATTCACAAAATGGACAGATTCACTCACAGTTCATTTTGGGATAATTTATGCCAGTTTTCTCTGATGTCATCTGTTGTTTAGATTAATAATTACTCATGCCAATTATTAACTGATGGAGGTTGCTTTGTATATTGGCAGAGGGAGGCCTATTATTTGGGAAAGTGCCCATGAATATTGAGCTTTCAATATAGGTACAAGAGTTTATTTGCAAAAGTGTAATTTTTATTTTCCCAAACAATTCAATATCCTAATGAATTTATATCTGCATTCTCAGGAGGTTTTGCAGAAGAATACGTTTCTCTATACTAATGTACACATGGTCAAGACCAAAACAGGATCAAAATGTTTATTCTAACTATGATCTCTGCTTAGAACTAAAGATAATATTTTTAAATATATTAAGAGATGTTTCTTTCACAGACCAAGGTACAGGCCTTTGAGAAATACAAAATGAAGACGCTCATTTACAAGACATGCTGATCAAAATATTAACTATAAAATTCTTTTACAACTCCATCAAATATGAGAAAGGAATGCATCTAAGAGGGTAAGACATTCATCCATTTAGACCTTTTGAAATTCTTGATGCAGTTTGGAGTCCTTCATGTGTCTCAGTTCTGTGTAATTTAGTGACTCTGACCTTGGGGAGGTGACAAGAATGGTGCCTCTATTAATGTTGTTTCTCTCTGAAAAAACAAAATATTTCCTGGAATGCAATTGTTTTTTTCAAAAAAATACTTGACCCTGTGCAGTGTTTTACACTTACGTCATTTCCCCATGTATAATCCTTTCTTGTTTTAGTGTGTTGCAGGGGAGAAAAAGTGTTATGCAGTTCTTGTTTTAAAAAAAATTCAACCAAAGAATATCAGCAATCATGACATTCTGAAGTATTTGTGTTGAATATAAATTTTGAGGGCATTAGAAGTGGTGAAGTATGATGTACAGCTTGATGAACGAGAAAGAGGGAGAGGGAGAGGGAAAGAGAGAGAGAAGAAAACTCAGAGCTTCTTGCTTGAATAATGAGATGGAGGGAACATGGGATATGGGGTAGGTGGGAGGAGGACTCCCGATGACTGGGATGTGTCTTCAGTCATGTGAGTGCAGAGATCAGGTAAGTAGCATGTAGGTGTCCAAGGTTTGTCTGAGGTATAAATTTACACTCAGCTTTGTGTGCATGTTATTGTAATCTGAGATTATCAGGGAATCATCTAGGGGAAGAGTGTTTTTAAAAATTTATATATGACAGCAGAATGCATTCCAATTCTTATTACACATATAGAGCATAGTTTTTCATATCTCTGGTTGTATACATAGTATTTTCACACCAATTTGTGTCTTCATATCTGTAAGTTGGATAATAATGATGATCACATTCCACCATCATTAATTATAGGGGTAAAGTATTGAGTGAAAAGAAAAGAATGCCCTGAGCAGAAACTTCACGAACCTCTAGCATTCAATGGGCAGAGGAAGAGGAGCCTAATAAAGGCTGTTGAGGGAATTAGGAGGAGACAAAAACCATAACTGGGTTATGGAAAATAAGGAGGAGAGTGTTCAAAGAAGGAGGAATCAATTCCTAGTATCATATGCTGCTAAGAAGACGTGTCAGGAGAGGACTGAAGAATACCTATCTGGTTTAATGATTTTTGACCTTATCAAACTGCTTTAGAAAGACGGCTCAAGTAGGATCCAGGGAGGTGGGCTGAGGAGTGGGTGGAGGAGAGCACTGAGACCATCAGTGTCATCAGTTTTCCTGAGAAGCTCGTCTCTGAGGGAAGGACAGAGGAGAGGATTCGTGAGGAGTCACGAAGTCACTGGAAGCTTTCATTGACATGGATGTTGTCACATGGTGAAGACTTACACATGTTTGCAAGTTATTTTGAAGGACTTGGGTGAGAAAGAATGGTTGGCTAGATAGAAAAAGAGAAAGAAAAGGTAGAAATTGACTTTAATGTTTGATTGATTGATGGGAAGAGTTCCCATTTACTAAGTTTTAGACTCTCTGTGAATCAGGAGGTGAGATCGATGGTTGAGAGGACAAGGAAAGTCAGAGGGCTGGGGATTTCAGGAAAGGAGAGGTGGGTTTGGAACAGCAATGGGAGAAAAAAAAAAAGATGAGCGGTGTGAAATAGGATGTTGGCTGGAAGGGGTCCATGTGAGGCTGATGATCCGTAGTTCAAAGGAAACCTTCATCTGTGAGTCACTCTCTCCCACAGGACTCATCCACTCTGCTGTGGTTGCCCTCCAAACAAAGTATTGGGTTAATTACTCCTTGGGACTTTTCCAGTAATGGCTGTTTTTGTTTGGGTGTAACACAAAAGATAATGGAATCTGGAGTGTTTGCAAGGGTGATATTATTGTAATGATGGAGCATGGGATTCACACCTGGATAAAGAGGATGGTGGGGAAAGGATGGCTGTTAGTGACTGGGGTTCCTATCAGCTTGAAGAAGGGCCACCCTTAATACCCCTTGTCTATAGAAATAGGAACAATGTCTGGCTTTTTCTAAGTTATAACTCTTTATAGCTACAGAATTAAAAGGATTTCTTTTTGATGAAGCTACAAAGCACAAGAGTCCAATTTTAACAACTTCCTCTCACCTCAAATTTGTAGGAGGGACCAACCACAGGCAAAACAAATTCCAGACAAGCCTGGGCTTATATATATTCTTATCTGAATATAGATTTCTCCCTATATGCCAGTAGAACCTCTCTCAGCATAATAAACCCGTGGAAAAATACTCTCTCCTTTTCATTTGGCTAGGGGAGGAAGATGATTGTATACACAGAATTGCAGTCCAGAGGAGGAAATATAGAGATGGAGGAGATGATAAAACATAATTTTACTCAAATGGATCCTCATTTAATTTTTCCATTATTCTCAGGGAAATGAAAGCTCAGCTACCTGCCAGAGAGAACTGATTCTTCTTCTTAAAATATTTATTTTATTTTTTTTTAGCCATAGGTGGACACAATGTCTTTATTTTACTTTATGGGGTGCTGAGGATTGAACCCAGTGCCTCACGCATTCTAGGCAAGCACTCTACCTCGAGCCATAACCCCAGCCCCAAACAGATTCTTGATGTTGCCAATCATCAATCAATCTTAATCATTCTAAAGTATCATTTCTTTTTCTGTACAAATGCGATCTTTTTGTATTATATTATTTTTATTAAAACTCTTGGATAAAATGAAAAGGGAAAGAAAGAAAACACTAGGTCGAACATAAAAGAAAAAAGGGTAAGGAAAAATTTATAGTCAGGGCTGGGGATGTGGCTCAAGCGGTAACGTGCTCGCCTGGCATGCGCGGGGCTCTGGGTTCGATCCTCAGCACCACATAAAATAAAAATAAAGATGTGTCCATCAAAAACTGAAAAATAAATATTAAAAAATTCTCTCTCTCTTCAAAAAAAATTTATAGTCAAACTTTTCAAAAATTTTCAGATGATTTTCTTCACTATATAATAAGAAATATCACAGTTTAGGACAATATTAATGCTTCTCTTTTCTTTTTTTTTTTCAGAAAGGAAAATGACTAGTTGTTTCACAGAAGCAAATGGAAGGAAATGAAATTTTGTGTTACCCACTAAACTATGGATGATTGAAATAATCTAGCAATACAATGCTAACTTGACCTGAACTTGAACTTGGGAGGAGACATCAATTCAAAAGGCAGCTGGAACCCCAGAATGTGCCCATCTGTAACCTGTGAGATGATGGATCAAAATTTTTCTGGCCATGAACATGGAGCTAGATTTCACCATTGTGTTGGCTGTGGGGTTGGCTCAGTGGTTTTCTCTGCTTGGGGACCAATCCCTTAGGGTTGCCATGGAAAAGGGGCTTTCGGTACCACTTAATCAGATGGTGGTGTGGGGAAGGATCGGGCATAGTCTTATTTGTTTGCATTAACAAATGGAGTGGTGAGAAAGACCAAAGGGGAAACCGAGAAGATTACTCAAAGGAAACAGGTGAGTGGAGAAATAAAAATGAAATTTAACTTCTCCCCCAAAGAGAATTAGTCATAAGAAAATGCAGGCATTTTTGGCTGAACCAAAAATCAAATAGAAACCACCTGCATTTTGAGGTCCAGAGTTACCCAGCAGGATGGGGAAAGGGCCCCGGATAGGCAGGCCTCTCTGCACTGGGTTGAGTCCCGGCTTTCTGAGCCTCAGTTTCCTCCCCTGTAAGGAGAGAGAACAATGCCCCTGCTGCATGTGATGACAGAAGCAAAAGTCCTATGACCAGCAAAGTCCCCCTCCCCCTCTCATCTACAGCCACCCTCTGTGACTTGGGATAGATGGCTTTTCGACCCTATCTTCCAAATACTTGAGATGCATCTTGTAGCTAACTCCCGCGAGTGAGCAGCAATTTCTAACTCTATCTTGAGAATTATTCCAAAACCAAGAAGATGAAGGGGAGGCAGTTAGGAAAAACTATTTGTGAGAGGACAATCGGTTTAAGGCGCCTCATAGAAAAGATGAGTTCCTAGCTTGTCAGGAGCCAGGTTAAGATTGCTTCTTTGTTTCTATCAGAAAGAAGGTAAAGGCGGGTCCTGCTGGGCTGGACAGGAGGTTAAGCAATGCGGAGGGCAGCATGTTGGAGTGGGCCCCATTTCTTTCTCTCGTTTTCATGTATGCATCCTGTGACTAGATCACAGGAAGTTAATATGTCAATTATTTACTTCCTGGGAGCCTAAGCAAGCACCCCTAGCACCTTCATTTACAATATGTCATTGAACAGAGCTGTTCCATTTTGTGGAATTTGTGAAGATAAAAAAAAAGACACATGAGCCATATTTCTGGAAAATAGATTCTAGTGTGTAACAGAGACCCGAGAATCATTTTCCTTTCTTCAGATAAAAGCAAAAGAGAATATATACTCCTTTTTATAAAAGTAGCTTTTGTTTGGCCCATGAGAGGCCAAATTCTCACAGAATACATTGGTAGAAGCACTTCTGCTGTGCCATACATTTTTAGTTGAATAGATTGAAAAATGAGCTCCAATGTCCAAGCCTACCAAAGGGTCATGTTAGAATCATGGGTTCTCTGTTTGGATGGTTTGGGTGCTGGGGATGGAAGCTCTGGGGACTCTGCACATGCTAAGCAAGGGCTCTGCCACTGAGCTCCATCCCCAGCCCAAGAGAATTATGGGATCTCAAGACCTGGGGGTTTCCTGGGCTTGAACGTGGGTGGCTTTGGATCAGGGAAGTTCCTCATGGAGGAGCGTCCAGAGAGGACCATTCCTCTCCCTTTACAGTTAAGGAAACTGGACCTTGGAGGGATTATCTAGCTCAGCTCGTGTGGCCAGCAAAGTCTGGGCTCAAACCAGGACTTGTGACTCCTAATTGTGCTGCTGTGACCTCAGGGCCCAGCTAAGGTTCTTTGACTATGATTTTCGGTTTAGTTGGAAAATACCTGACTTTTCTCCCAGTGAATACTCCATTCTCTTAAATAATAGAGGCTTGTATATAATGCTAACAGGTGCATTTTGTGATGAAAGAAATAGGCAGTTTCTTTTCATGACCAGATGGAATTCCCAGTATTCTCCTGATCATGATCAGGAGAAAGCCAGCTGCCCCCAGCCTCTGCTGACTGCAGCCAACATGGGGACCCACTTTTTTTCTCACCCACCCCTCAACACTCTGCCCCAGCTGCTGTGAGTCAGGAGTAACCATGTGGAAATCCCACCTCTGTCTAGTCTCAGTGAGGGATATCTTGGTATTTTCAGACCATGCTGAGCAGGAACAAAATTATTTTGCCTGAAGAGTCTGTAACCAGGCTTAAAGGTTGGGAAGGGCTGGTGGAAACATTTTGTTCTTGTAGGAGCAGGTCCTGCCAGGCTGGCCCTGGGGAGTACCTCTCCTTAGGCAAAGCCAAGCTTAGCCTTTCCCCCTGGAACTAGGGAAAGGCTGCTGTGTGTGGCTATAAAGTGGGGGGTGGGGTGAGCATGTTAATTTGTACTTTTGAGTAATAACAACAAGACCAGCCCTTTATGGAGGTCCTAGTTTTCCTAGGTATGCTAAATCTCACCACTATCCTTCAAAATAGGTTTTTATCATCATTGTCATTATCCCTGTTTTACAGATTAGGATAGCAAAATTCAGAGAGTTCAAGTTATTTTCCCTGCGTCACACAGCTAATAATGACAAAGATGTGAACTAAGCTATTTGACTCATGCTCTGGGCTGCTCTAGGCTAATGAGTCTGAACTTGACTTGGTAGGATGTGGTCCAGCAGGGTTGTATTCATTACACAAGTTAGCCAGGAGGTTAATTTAAGTGACATCTATTGACAGAAGACAAGTTGATGAGACGGAATTAGCACAAAATACTAAAATAAATGTTCAGCCTCTTTTGGAGTAGGATGTTAATTGTAGACCATTCCTCTACGAGAAAGCAGCTCAAAGAGAAATAACAAGTTCACTCAGAAGTCTCCAGACCTCCTTCTGTGAGGCAAGACTGGGCAAGTGACTTCTTATTTATCCCAAAGAAGAACAGATTCAGCAAGAAAATGGAGCAGGAGGCCTGAACAGAATTCTATCAGAGAGGAAGTCAACCTCCCATCTTCCCCCGGTGTGCGTGGCCTCCTGGCTTCCCTGTTTCTCTGACTGCCATTAGCAGACTAGCAGTCATGAGGGCTGGAACTGCACAGTCACACAGATCCCTGCTTGCACCCACCTGGCCCCCACCTGGCCCTTCCTCTCTGCAGCCCCCAATCCCCCAGGGATACTGCATCAGGGTCTATGGACTGGGTTCCAGAGTTTTCCAGCCTTTGTCCCTATCTTTTCTATTCTCATTACAACTACCGTAATTTAGGACCCTGCAACTTCTCCCTAATCGATGCTGTAGGATCAATCTTTGTAAAACAAGACTCTGTCACGCCTGTGTCTACAAACCATCCGATTCTTCATTATCCACCCAATCAAATCCAGACACCTTCACCCAATACCCAAAAATCTTTACAGATTTTCCTAAGCAGAGCTTTTTTTTTCGACTCTCTGTCCATCGCAGCTGACCTGAAGGGCCCAAATTGCAATCCACACTTTATCCCGAGAGCCTATGTCATTTGCCATCTCCTCACCTCTACTGGTGACCTTTGCTTTGCCTAGAAAAATTAATGAGCCTATCTCATGTGTGGTTGGTCCTTGCTAACTTTCAGTGTTTCCATCTGCCTTACTCCATTTCAACATCACAGTTTCTCTGCAAGGAAGATATGCTTATACTTGTTTAAAGATCAGAAAATAATGGCTCAGGAACCTGAGGTTTCATAGCTGGGGTTGGGGGTGAGGCGAGGCAAGGAGTCAGACTTCCAACCTATTGCTGTGCCCACAGCTCGGATACTTTTCTTTCTCTCTTCATCCAGCCTTTCTCTGGGTCCCTCCAGTTTCTACTTTTCAAATTTTACCTTGTTCTCAAAGTCCAGCTGAAATCCACCATTTCTGCACCTCCCCCAAACCAACCTAGAATTGCAAGCTTTCCCTTCTCTGAGCTCACACAGCTCCTTGTACAACTTGCAGGGCACTTAAAGCAATTAGGAGAACAGGCCTGAGTGTTTGTGCAGAAGGAATTGATGCCAGCACAGACCAAGATCTTAAAACCTTTTTGATCATGACCCTATTAAGAAATGTATTTTATGTCACCACTGAGTAGAAATACGTACCCACACGCACACCCCTTGAAATGAGTGTCACCAAACAACAATTACTTCTAATTCTGCCATGCACTTTCATTTACTAAAAAAGTTCTAGTTAGGAACCCACTGAACTGATCCTGAGAAACGCTAATGAGTTCTGAAGAGCACTTTGAAAAACTCTGATTTCCATCTTATCTGTCTCTTCTAAATGGCCTGACAACATTGTTAAAGGTTTGTAAAAAGACTGGGCTAGCAAGAGAGGTGCGTTTACCAGGGATTTAATCTCTAGTTCTGAACAGGAACACAAACACTTCTTACAAGGCTAAGCCAGGAAGGAAGGACCTCAGCTGGAAAGCATCAGCTCCGACTTGCAGGAAGATCATGGGCAGGGATTCTTCGTGAGCTAATTCATGGGGAGGGGAGCGTCCATTCCATAGCGGGAGTTCTACAAAAGGGAGATTTTAGGCCCTGCAGACATGGGGGGGTGAGAAGACTTCTCAATAAGTCATGTCTATAGATTGAGAAGAGACTTATGTGCTCATCATAATCTTGAGTATGGCCGGAAATCAGTTAGAATTTAAAAATAATAAAAATGTAATAAAGTTCTTTGTTTATATCTGCATAGTGAGTCTGAGGGCCTTCAGGCCTATAAACCTGTCAGTGAATTTAGTATCATTTCAACTTTATGAAGCACTTGATGTTTGCAAAGTGCTTGTACAATTACCAATTACCATAATGTTCATCTTCTGAACATTTTGGTTCAGAGAAGGCCCGAGGACTTCAGACTAAACACAAAATGAAAAAAAAAAAAGTCGAAAAAACTTGGCCAAGCTAGTTAAAGACCAGTCTTCTGAGCTTGTAGTGCTGGAGCTGTTTGGGGTGTGGGGTACGGGCTGCCGATGCTCTTGGGAGCCCAGAGCCTACAGTGTGTACAGCCAGCCTCGGTCACCCACCTCTTGTGGATGATGCTGGCATGCTGCCCTTGGGGGTGCTCAGCAAGGTTCTTGGTCTCCATGAGGCAGGGGAAGAAAAGGCAAAGGGCTGGGCACCTGTAACCCAAGCCGTCAAGGTCATCGTAAGGAGTGCGGGAAGAGGTGTTTGCAGGCACTAGGGGAATAAGTAGCCAGCAAAGGGACA